GGTTTGTACTTCTCATTTGCTTTCCTTCAGAGATTTCCAGGCGATAGACATTTGAATTTTCAACTTCCTTTTTTGTTGGCATTTAGGAATACAAAATGCCATTTGATTGGCTATGCTGCAAGGCGGTCTAAGAACCTCTCCTCAGATACCGAACAATCAGCACTGAATAAAGACAAACACTCTGAACAAGCAAATCAGAAAGGACAACGCTCGACTAATGGAGATAAAAGATCCCAAATTGATAATGCAATTTATCAAAATGGACTTGGCTCTAAGAGTAGACCTTCCACAATGAAAGACAGATTGAATTCCTGCAAAATATCAGCTGTCAATGATGCAAGCGAAGGTGCTAGACATAATGCATCCCTTGCTTCCGGGGAATCTCTGCACGGCTCCGAAAAACATGAAAGCACCCTCCCGGTGAGCTCACCTTCATATCCAAAGGTAAATTCTCCATATGCTTATTTTCATTTTTACCTACGCCATTTTGCATAGATATCTCTGGACTAATGTTCATTTATTTTTTATTTCTCTGTCAATCTGCAGCAAGTTGTTATGAGCAAGGATGGCCAAGTTACCACCAATGACAATGTTAAGAATTTATCCCACCCAAAAGCAGAGAATCGTGAATCAAGGTTCCTCTGGAATCAGAGCTTCCGTTTGTTCGGATTTTGGTTGTGTCATATTTATTTACATGATTTCTAAATATTCTGTTTCTTGTTATTTGCAGCAGCATGAGCAGATTGAATACGATGAGAAGAACTGAGAATCATCTTGTGCAAAATGGTTTAGAACATGAAAGGGACAGGTGCCAGAAACTTGAAAGCCAGGTACATGCTCCAAATTTAACTAGCAAATTCAAATTATGTTGTGGCTGTTAATTTTGTCAGGGCTATATTGTTTTGAAACAGGGACATCAAAATTTTATGCTTTGTCATGATGTCTTCAATTTCGTGCTTTATTTAGGTTTACTAACTCAAATAGGAGTTAAAAGACGAATATTGTCACAGAAATCCAATCCTTATTAAATCTTTTCTCATTTTTCTAAGGAAAACATAGCATAAACTTCCACTGATAAATATAATTTAGCTCTATTAGAGCTCATACAAGAAGACATTTAAAAGAACCAAGAGAGAATTATATAAACAAGACGAGAGAGTAATTCTAATGTTTCGATAAGCACTCAGAGATTCATGTCTTTTTTAAAATGATTCCTCTCTTCAATTCTCCTCACACAATTTGCTTAAATATTTGTCATTTAAGCATTCGCTATGTGCATGTGAATTTTCACTGGAAAATGTCTCCCCTTCGAAAGTTTCATTTTCAGAACTTTGAGTCCGTGCAGTTACAGATGCTGATCAGAATTTTGTGTCTCTGATACTTTTTTTTATTATTATTTTAATTTAAAAGATGTCAAATGTTAGCTGAGATGAATAGAAAAGTTCGTGTTATTAGTTTTTCATTATTGAAACTTGAAAGATATATGTATCATATGAAATTAGAAGAGAACACACGTTAAAAAAGAACAGAAAAGAAATAAAGGTAAAAAATAAGTTGTTTATTTCCTTTCAGTATTAGCATTTATAAGATTAAAGGTTTTGATTTCCTTACTACGCATATATTCGACGTTCCCTTTTTAATTTATCTATTTATTTGGTTCAGCTTCAGGAGAGAACAAATGAGCTTGAGGCAGAAAGAAAGAAAACGGAAGAGTTGGAGAAAGAAAATCAGTGTCTTTTGGATATGTTACAGGAAGAAAGGACCCAGCAGATAGAACGAGAGGATGAATTAATGAAGAAGATTAAGGTTAGGATAAGTTTAATTAAGTTTATATGCATGATTAACGTAACACTATTTCATAATTCTCAAAAGACATGCATTTTTTTATTTATTTTTCTGGCCTGCTGTAGAATGCTTCCCAAACTATTGAGGATCTAAGAGAGAGGATGAGACAACTAGAAGGAAAGGAGCTTCGAAGCTGCAAAACTGAAAAGAACTGCTACTAATTAAGCAATATTCTTTGGCTTCTTATATGTATGTATACTTGTGGTACGTTGCAACATAATTAATTCCAACTATAAAAAAGAGAACATTTTTAACCAAATAAAAACCTTCCTTCGTGGCTGGAGATGAAGATTTTTTTTTTCTGTGGAAAAAAATTCATAAAAATAATAAACAGATATATTTATGTTCGCTGTTTGTGACTCTCATTTTTTCTTGATGTCTATACCGGCTTAAATCACCAGGTTGGAATGACTCGAATATTTACTGGAATTTTTTTTATCTTTTTTTATTAGTTAACTTTGCTTCTATATTACTTGTATAATTACTTTTTGTTTTGTAGGATTGTTTTCTCACAAGAGCTAATTAAAAGAAATTATAAAACGTATTTCTACCTAGCTACACCTAGATCCCAAATAAGTAGAAATTTGATTAATAAAACCTTTTTAATTGTAGTTGATATCTTATTACCAATCATTCTGACAACTTTAAAAGAAAAAAAAACATTTATTTATTACAGAGGTGGTGTGATTTAATTTTTTTATTTATCATTTTGAGTTTTAAGAAAAAGACACATTACTCAGGATAGAAAGATTTGAAAAAACTCTAGATATATTGACGGTGAAATTTCTATTAAAAAAAAAAATCCTTTGTGTTGTGTATCTCTAATTAATGCACATTCAAATATCCCATCGTCTTTTCTAGTATTGGTGAAAAAGTTACACCTATGATTATGCGCTACGAGTTATGTATTGCGGGTTAATCCTACTCAATTAGTACCACTAACCGCCTAAGCGGGCATAGAAGAAGAAGCATAGTTGGAAAATTTTGCTATAAATTTCTCTCTTTTCTTATTGGTATCATGACTAAAAAGAATGGTTGGGATACAATTGTCCATCTCATTCGGATTTTAGATGCCTATATAATCATGGAAGACCATTAAACCGACTAATTCTTAGAAATCAAGGGATGCTGAAAATAATTTTAATTCCTAAAAATTAAGGGATGTTGAGAACAAATAAACGGTTGGAGTTAACTTTCTTTTGTTTCAAATTTTTTTTTTTTTTTTTTTTTTATATATGCGTATGCAAAATCACCAAATTAAAGGATTATCTACAGACTCACAAATAAAAAGGAGGGAATAGATTTATGGTTTCGAAACTTTCTACTTTAATTTCAATATTAAAAGAAATATTTTTATTTTTATTTTATGTATTGCAAAATTTATTAATAAAATTGTTATTCTCACCATTTTTTTAGAAAATTACAAATATATCTTCCATTAATATTTGTCATATAATAATTATTTGTCCTTAGTGATGGATGTGTTGGTGATTGTCTAGAAAAAAATGATGGAAATAATAATTATATTGATGAATTCAACACTACCCTTTATTTTAATATTAAAATAAATATTAGATTGTATACAGTTGAACAATCAAGCAGGTTCATTAAAAATTCGCAAATGAAAAAATGAAAAAAAATTCAGAAATTGTCGGAATTAATGTAATAATTTTATATTTTTATTTAGTGACAACATCTTTAATTTTTTAAAAAAAAAACGATTTTTTTAAATAAAGGTTGGTTAGAGATTTTTTATAAAAACACTAGCCTGTCAGCATTCATAATCAGCCTATCGGGATTCATAATAAGAATATTTCACTACTTTTTCATTCCATGTATTAGGCGTACGTGCCTCATGGCACATGCCAGTAAGGGAATTGTTTGTGCTAGAGAGATTATTGATATTATTTTAAAAAGTAGGTTTTACTCTTCTGCTGTTTTTTTTTTTTTTTTGGGTTTTATTATAATTTTTTTTTTTTTTTTGCGTGCTGATTAAGATTCAAGATCCAATATCAAAAAGCTTATAATCCAGTGATGATGATCTTTTTCAAGAGATCATGAGTTCGATCATAGCAGACTAACTTGTTAAAAACTTTAAGAGTGTGAGCAAAAGATCATAGGTTCAAATCTTAAAAAATTAAATCTGTTAGAAGCTTTGAGTGTGTGTTGGGTGAATGAGTTATAAAAAATTACAAAAATACAAAAAAATAAGATTCAAGATCCATTTACTTTGTTTGGCGTAAATTAATCTAACTCGTTTACGTCTCTTCTCTAACATAATGTTACGTATGATTCCTGCCTTTTGTCATAATGGTTTTGCAATGTTTGATTAAGTTGTTGTGAATTAGGACGTAACTATAGAAAATAGTTTTGCTCTTTGATTGGAACTTTAAATTTATACGCATGCATAAATACTGTGTGATTTTACATTTAATACTGTACCTTCTGTTTTCTTTCATTGTTATGCTCTGCTTGTTTTAATAATCGAAACTTTTACACATAGAGGACGGGTACTTTCATTTCTAATTATTGGAAGGGATTTGCATATTATTTTCGATTTGATGGCATTATACGGCCATTGCATTCTATCGTTGAAATGATCAAGTAGTTAGTTAACCAAGGGAAGGGATGGAACTTCTTAAAATCCAGATGCCTTTTTTTTTTTTTTCGTGTTTACACAAACTGGATTTCTTACTTTTCAATGCCTTGAATTCGAAGAAAACTTTGATCAGCGAAGACAAAATTGAATCCTTTTATCAACTTGGGCTTTAGGACATGTGCTCCTCCAGTCCAAATATGCCTCTTCTAATAGATACGTACATATTCTACTGAAGTCCAATGTTAACTTGGTATTTCAATTACTTGCTGCCGGTGTTCTGATTGCCTCCCCGACCAATTTGGTATCTGGATTCTCACGTTTCCTAGAATGTAGCATTCTAATACAATCGAACGCGATATTCTCAAATTCAAGGTAATTATCTTAATTATTAAGGTATTAATGGATTACATTGTATTTCTATGCTAATCTGTTTTTCATCATACATAGATGCTTCACATAATTATGAAATATAGCATACGAAACATAATCATTTGGACATAACTGTAGCGATTATCATGGATTTTGGTTCAGTGGTCTTTTGGGAGGGGATGGAGGGATGTACGGTATCCAAGTCCTCGGATCTCTTAGATTAAATACAGGTGGTGGTGGTGGAGGTGCTAATGAAGGGATATTCGGTATCCATGTTCTTGGATCTCCTAGATTAAATGCCGGTGGAGGTGGTGGCTGGAACAGAGGTGGGGCTGGTGGAAGGGGTGGAAATGGGAAGGGCAAAGGTGGTGGGCTTGGACGTTGTACGGGAGGAAAGGGCAGAAATGGAATCGGTGGCAATGGAGGAAAAGGTATTGATGGAATTGGTGGGAATGGAGGGAAGGGAAGTGAAGGAAATGGTGGCAAGGGAGGGAAGGGTAAAGGGGGCAGTGGTGGCAAATTAGGCAAAGGAGGCCACGGGAAGTAAGGGAGAAAAACTTTGAAGAGTTCAAAGAATTTCGCAACTCTTCTTTGAGATTCCCACACAAGGTGATGTTTTTTTCGGATGGCCTGAAACTCAAAGCATTTAAGCTGTAAATACAGAGATTATCCTGCTTTGACTTGACTGATATCTCGTTTGTTGACATCTTTAAACCAGGAACATCGCAGACTGGAGATGAGCTCGCTATTAAACTTGCCTGGCATATTGATTCAATTGCCAAGCCCTCCACGCAGTCAACACCATCAACCTCTGGCACTTCCAGCATATATATTCCATATCTATCCGTTGTTCTGTTAACAGAGAACTCAATCTTCTCACTAGTTGTTGGTGAGTTTGCTTTGAATGTACATTGGATGTGAACATCCGCACCTAATCAGTCCATGTTCAGTAATAACTAGGTTATAGCAATTCTCTTTTAACATACGATTGAAAAGGAAATGAGCAGCAAGGAAGAGTTGTTTACCTGGCAAGAAGTAGCTGTGCCTGGAGAAAGTTTCGGTTAAACAGGTATCACAGTAGACAGCACCAACAACAGAGATCCGGGAGGTTGGATTATTTGCTGGTTGAGCAGTGGGAGAAAGTGGGAGAGCGAACAAAGTTACCAGAAGAACAAGATTAATGATTGGAGCCATGGGAGAAGTAGGAAGAAGATTCGACAAAAAAAGCATCTATATTTAGTACTCCATGAAGAGCATATGCATTTTTGAATTATTCTATAGATCTAGAAAAATGTAATGTGTACGCATATAATGAACCCGTGAGTAGTTTGGTGTTAGGACCAACTGTAATAGGAAAGCTAAAATGCTTTATCTATTCACTACAAACAAAGACATGTGAAGAGCTCTTTTGGCAGATTATGTAGAGAAAAGATCTACTAGAAGTTCACAAACTTCAGCTCTAGAAGATAATTGACAGGTAGTGGGGGATTGATTTGGACGCTCAACAATTCCTCAGATTGGAACAGATCACTATCAGGTTGTCCAAGGCATAAAAGGACAATATTGCAGGGAGGTAGCAATTGTAATTTTCTGATGTTTTGGATGAAGGCTGTGGCTTGCTTTCTGACCCATTTTCGTTTTTCACTTCGCGTTTGTGGCTACGTTTTAAGCAAACTTTGACTATTAGAAGACCCCAGGAAGGAAATTTCTTTGTCATGCACCATTCCCATAACCAACATGTTTGTTTTTACATGCATTAGTCAGAACCCAGTTTGAGCTGCTCTATTCAACTGGCAGATGTTTTGCATGCGTCTGATAACAAATGAGAAACTATGCTCTTCCGACACAGGAAGAGTTTAGACTGGCTGTTATTTATTGAGTTTTATTGTCTCCTTATATTTATATCCAGAAACTGGCTGCTTGCGCTTCGTTTGGACCCAAGATTCTTTTCAATCTTCCAAGTCTGTAGCCAAGTTTTTCACTGGGTGAATTTTTATTTTATTTTTTCAACAAAATAGAGGTCCAAATTCAAAACATGAAAAATATTAATATAAATTGAGTTATAGTTCATTGATTAAAATTTATTTTGTTTATGATATTGTTATTCCAATAAAAAAAAAAAAAAAAATGAAAGAGTCAGCCTGATAAATCATTTTGCAGTAATCAACAAAAAACTAGCTCAATGATACGAGTTTTAGACTTTTAATAAAAAGTTTAAGATTGAAATTTCACTAGTCGCTTTTTTTTATATATATAGTTATCACTAAACTTACGCATGTTTTTTCGGTTTGAAGAATGTAGGGAATTTAGACTCTGGATTTGAAGACAATTTGTACCGATCGAAAAGTTTGAAACAAAAGGTGTTGGATTATAAAATCTGTAATAGCATAAAGGTTGCAAATGGTAGGAACTAAAACTTTAACAGTTTCGAAATTTAGATTTTTAATAAAATTGTCTTTTGGATTTTTAACACGTATCCATGCAAGTCACCTAATCAACTTTGGGAAGTGAAATAAAATTGATTGACGTTTTAGACAAAAAGTCAAAAAAATATATATATATTAACCCCACTCTTAGAATCAAACTAATACATGGTCTACACACTAATTGCCTTGACAAGAAACATGCATGAATTGGTACAGACCCTCCTTATGCAGGAGAGCTTGAGTATCAGCAATAACAGCCAAGTGAAGGTGACAAGGTCTAGGACTAGGAGTTTTTGCTTCTTGGGTCTAGACAGGTACAACCTAATCTATAGCCTTTGTGCAAGAAGAATCCCTTGTTCAATCAAATAATTTTTGTTTATTTTTCAATGTTAAATGATCCGACAGTAATGACATCTGGATAGTTTTGGTCCACATTATACAAATCAAGAAGTTAAAGGTTGCATTATTAATAAAATGACCAGGGCATCTAAGCTTTACTTTATTCCCATGACTTAATTGTTTTTTTTGTTTTTTTTAGAAAGCTTAAAAAGTTGTACTAGTGCTGGGCTCGAGTCCATATATGCTTGTTAATTTGGGCTTCAAGATGAGGGCCACAACATCTTTCCTGCAGTGTTATGATTTATGAGCGTATGACGTCAATTCATGAAGCTGTAATTTTTTATTTTTTTTATCAATAAAGCTGACTTGTTTGATAATCAACAAAAATATCAAACCACTTTCCCTCAAAAGAAAAAAAAAAATGAATTCATATTGCATCAACAACTGAGATTTGAAGTTCAAATTTTCTACACTTATTATTAGAAAAAGCCTCACGATAAGCTTTGATGACCAAAATCTTAGGGCTAGAGCGCTAAAAGTAAGACAATATGACAAGTAGCTAATGTATCGTCATAGAAAAATCAAACGAAGTTAGGACATTAAAGATAAACTAAATCTCATCCGTTTTTCCTTGTTAATGACAATTTCCAAGTTTTGGATCCATCTTGTGTTGCTAACTTATTGAAAATTAATTAGAATCAAAGCCAAAGTGCTCCAGCTTCCTTGAGGAGGGGCACGAGATTTCCACTAATATGGGAAGCCATGACTCGGTCCATGGCACCAATTAGCTTCCCTCCGATGAAAACAACAGGCACAGAAGTTGAATTCCCAAGCAGCCTCATTAATGCCTTCTCAATCTCTTTCCCTCTTGGATCATGGTCCAGCTCATAAACAGTTGGGTTCACACCCATCCCACAAAAGAGTCTCTTCACGGCATGACACATGCAACAACTGCTGATACTAAATACCACAACAGCACTCTCTGATGCCAGCCTCGCAACTTTCTCCAGTGGGTCTGATATCATGCCGGTCCTCATTGGCACATAGTAACCCCATGACTCAGCCTGATGATATTGCATTTTAAGTTCCTTGTAATTTAAACAGAAACCCAGAACAAAAGTACCTTGAAACAACAGGATTACGAAGCTGAAGGAGATTTGAACTTGGAAATGCAAGAGAGTGAGAGTGATACTGATGGAATAGAATTGTTGGTGGTGGGGAGGGTTTATATAGGGGGGCTTATGGAGGGGTACGACTGTAATAATAAGGAGTTTGTCTTTTGTTGTCCCAGCGCGTGCTTAGAAGATCTTGTGGTTTTTGCTTTAAAAGGATTGTTGTCTGGATCGAGAGGACATTATGTGGGCACTTATAGAAGGACTTAAGCTTTGAGAGGAAGCAAAGGTGTCAGGTATAGAAGGCGGCTATTGAATTAGTTGTCTACTGTATAGAGCATGGAGTGTACAATTTTTACCATCGAGCTAGCTTTTTGGAGCGAAAAAGGAAAATAAAAAGATGACATTTATTCAGGCATTGAGTGACAATGTAACAGGCAGGCTTTTAAAACATTAGACAAACCAAAGTCTGCTGGGGAGTTATAAAGAGTATAGACGGCTGTATCCGTCCTTCTTGTCGGATCATAAGATTAAAAGGTTTGTTCCTGTGACGTGAAGATTTCACGCATGTTAAGCCAAACATCAAGTCTCTCATTTTTTTTGGATTGGATTGAATCAAAAAATTAGTATTTCATGCATGGCCAACATGATCATCCTTCCTTCTCTGGCTCTGTGAATTGACTTATGCTGTTCCATTTCGAGAAGTGCAAAGGGCATGCGGTTCTTGGAAACATAAATTACGTACGTACTGTGGTCTTGGTCAAATAAAAAAAATAGATATAACATCGAGTAATTGATAGGTGTATTAGCTTTTGCCTTCTGGTCCAACAGAATTTTGTCTAGAAAGCTGATATATTTGGACAGAATTGTGTATTGTTGGTTTGTTTGATTCTCCCACTTAATTAGTGACCTAAATTTTTGAAGTAATGTTGTGTTAATGGACAATGCATGGTGTCTATTAATTATAGGAGGATTTGGAGTTCCAGGGACAATAAAGCCCACAGCTTGGTATAAACCTTGTGCAAATAGTCCATTGTATAAAGCTTCAAATGACATCAGCTTCCTTTTTCTTTTGTTTTGCTCAAAGACATCGTCTTCTTTTTGAAAAGTGAGGTTGCTATCATATAATTAATCTCGTTCTATTTTTCGTCGATGCATCCTGTGAGCAAATCACCAAAAATAACATCTGACGGAAAGCTATTTGAGAGCTCCTGTAACGTGTGAAATCGCACTTTTGACGTAACGGTGGAAAAAAAATTTGCGATGCAAAGTCACTACAAAACAGTGGGCTTTTCAGCAGAATACGTGATGTGAGGAGGTGGAAAATTAAGTCTGCTCAGAAAAATCAATAATTTAATGTACCCTTCTGCAGCTTTTGTTATTGGTCAGTCAATACTGTTAACAAAGATGAACACCAAAAACAAAAAGTATACAGTAATTTAGTTTAGTTCCATGAAGGCTTAATTCCAATGGTAATGGTAGTGGTAAGTGGGTTTGATCCAGTACTAAATCATATAAATGAGTTCATCATGGAATGAAATTTCTCAGTAAATCCACTGGTTTAGGTATAGAGCCTAGCTATTTAAAATTTAATCCCTAGCTTGGAACTTAGTCTCAATATAAAAAAGATTGTGCTATTCTCACTGTTACTGTTCCCACTTTATTAATCACATATCATATATAATCTATTTAATTTTATTATTTAGATAGATCAAAATATCCCTTATTAAATCTACAGTTGATGATAAGTAAACTTTTCATAAATGTTTATATTACATTTGTATTGAGAAAACATAGTTAGAAGTAGAAAATCTTTATTTTTTTAATTACCATAACCAGAATTTACTTTTTTTAATATAAAATTACCTGTCACCAATTAAATCTAGTTTCTTCTAAACAGATTTTGGTCTTAATACATTTTTTTCCTTGTTAAAGGTTTTTTTTTTTTTTTGTATTTTTAACTATTATCTAACAATAAAATATCTATTTTCTTTCAATAGCTAACTTAACTTTTAGATAAATAGTCTAATTTTTTCTTATATAATAGTCTGAATTTTTAATTTATCATTATATTTTTAATTATATTTATTATAGCTCTAAATAATGATTAAGTTTTTAATTTTTTAATTAACTTTTCAACTATGAAAAACTTTTTTTTATCGAAATATAAATAAAAAAATTCTAAAAACTTTTAAAATAGAACATGCATCAGGTCATGTGACTTTAATTTTATTACTTTATTTATTTATTTATTTATTTTTGCAATTTGGTCAAAAAATTTGCCCAAAAATCAGAAAAATTAATAAAAAAAACATATTAGAGATTTAAAAATTATTTAGAAACATAATAAATATGATTAAAAACATAAAAATAAATTAGAGGCTCAGGTTATTAAATAAGAAAAAATTGAACCTATTTACTCATCTTTATATTGAATAAGGAGAATAATTATGAGAAATATTAATTATACATAATTTTTTATTTATTTGTTTATTTATTCTGGAAAAAAATTAAATCTTAGTTATAAATTTTTTTCAGTGATATTTATAGACAATCTTAAAGGTTAAAGGTGCTATACATCAAAGAAGTGAATTCCTAAATACCGGTAAAAAAATTGAACTCAGCTCAGATTGAAGAAAGCAAATCTCACTATCCATATAGATCAGAAATATTTAATATTCACCGATCCAGAAAAGAAAACAATAAGGATATTGAATCGAAACCCGAAACTTTACCTTATATATAAAACCTCAAAAGTAAAAAAGTCATCTCCACTCTACTGTACAATTCGACTTCAGCCTCTGACGTGGATACTGCGTAATGCAGTTGAGGTCCAGAGGCAAGTAATTGTTATGCATCTCTATGTCCGTACCTTGGGCTCAGTACTGCATGCATAATTCCAAAAGCAATACCGTAATAGAGGAAAAAAGATTATAAGAAGTGAGGAGAATAATTGCAAGAAATATTAATTATACATAATTTTTTTTATAGAATTTACCTGAAAAAAATTATTAATCATTGGATGAATATCTCAAATATTAAATAAAATATTATTTTATTAATAACTTTTATAAATTTAATAGTCAATATTTTTTGGATAATTACCAGGAAAATCTTCTAAAAAAATCTTTTATCTAAAAAACCTATCAATTTATTTTTAAATCTCCCAAACTCAAAAAAAGTATTTTACTAAAACAATCAATAATAATTATTTGGTGTTTTAGTAAAACATTGTTTTGAGTTTGGGAGATTTTTAAAAGTATTTTGGTAAAAAATATATATTATTTTATATTTAGGAGATTTAAAAATAAAATGATAGATTTTTTAGATAGAAGAATTTTAGAGGGGGTTTTCATAATTATTTCTAGTTTAAATGAAATTGTTATCTTCAAAGATATGAATTCCTATTGTGTGTGACCATACTCTATTTAATTAATGCACTAAAATATGTTATACATGCATCTTATAATTTAACTTAATTGCTTGATCAAAAAATGTTGAGTTTTAATTAACTAAAAACTAGCATTACTGATAGTGCTTTTTTTCCAATCAATATATTAGATTTTAAGAAATCATTAATATTCATAATCATACATATTCTTATTTTTCTTATTTGTATAATAACCTTTATATTAAATTAAAAAAATAACATGAGTCACATTTCATCAATATTAATTAGTTAAATTGCATGAGTTATTTTAGTTACTAGACGGCAAAAGTAATCTTGTAGTTGATGCATGAAATAAGCAGTCGATATAAAAAAATAAAAACTCCAACATAGAAAATTTTTTAGTACAATAAAAAAATAGTAATTGAAAGTCAAGGTGTTAAAAGCCAAAGAACCTCAAAAAAAAAAAAAATTGTCTTTCAATTGCAATAAAAAAAAACTGAATTTGATAATGATTAAAAAAAAATCAATATCAAACTCATTAAAAACTATGAAATGAGTTTTTTTTAGATAAAAACTAAAAAAAAAACCCTCTAAAATAATTTTCTATCTAAAAAATTCATAAATTTATTTTTAAATCTCTCAAAACTTAAAAAGAAAAAAAATTATCTTACCAAAATATTTAACAGTTAACAATTGTTAAGTTGGAGATTAATTATTGAATGTTTGGGTAAAAAATATTATTTTAAATTTAAAAAATTTAAAAATAAATTAATAGGTTTTTCTTATAATTATCTCAATATTTTTGGACAAAAGATAATTATATATGATTAATATTGCTCAATAATGATACTGCTGATAGTCATATTCCTCTGTTGATATGTTCACCTAAAGCAGAGACAAAAATGACGAAACAGTAGCGTCTATGCATAGGCAACTATAAAACAAACGAAAAAGAAGAAAGAAAGCGGCAAGGCGTGGCCTGCACTTAGGCCTATTCAGGCGGCGCTGTTGTTGGGTACGGTTGTGCTGAATACCGGCGAAAGATCAGGATTCTTGATGTCCGGGAACCTATCTAGCTATTCAAACCACGTAGGGAGATTCTTTCTTTTCGTTATCTTTTTAACTTATTACATGTAATATAATTTATTCTCTGGTCTTTCTTTGCTCGCGGTGTTTAAGCATGCAACGAAATGTCCTTTTTTGTCATATGGTTGACCACTGATACCTGAAGAAGAACATTGACATGCTTAATTATGCCATAAAATATCCACTGTTAAAAAGACAGTTTAGCCAGTGTCGCAGTAATTTTCTGCTGTAAACGAGTACTACTGCCTTTGTTCCAGTAAAAAATAAAATAAAAAAGTAATATCACAAGTGATTAACTGGGAAGAAATCAAATTATTGTTCAATATTTAGCCACTAAGCAACCAGAAAAGTGACTCACTAGTAGTAGATTTGAACTTTTAACATAAAGTCCAAAGTTTAAATCTCATTTCTCCAAACTTATGCCTTTCGTTTCAAAAGTATGGAGGTTTAAAATAAATCAATTTATATCTATCAAATATGATTTAAAAAT